AAGCTTGTAAGTTTGTTTATTAGGGGGAGGGGAGTTTGGAACTGGAAGGCTGACAAGTGCATCGCTTGCTTTCTTACTCCTTTTTTTTCCCCCTTTTTTATTTTTTTCTTCTGACTTTGGCTCTTTTTTGTCCTTCTGCCTCTGCCTCTCTTTTCTTTTCACTTTCACGTGCTCTCTTTTTCTCTCTTTTTCTTTAACTGTCTTTGCTCTTTTTTTTTTTTTTTTTAAAGCACTACCCAACATTTATACTTTGATTCAATGAATATGGAACAAATGGTTCTACTAGTTGTTGTGCATGTATATGTTGTCTCTTCTTTCGCTTTTATCTGCCCTTCCTGCCTCCTGCTATGCTTTTCTCCTTCTTTCTCTAATGAGTTTTGATCTCTGCTCCTCTTACCCTGTCTGATCTTAATCTATTAATAAAGAAATAATGTTCCGCATGCTCATAATATGACCTTAAGCAGTTGTGAGCGCTGTCAAAACAAATGGAAAAAAAACAGACTCTAAAAGAAATATAGTTGAAATTGTCCAAGATGGCCATGGATTGAAAAAGTAAAGTCCAAGATGGCCATTCATTATAATAATAATAATAACTGAATTTATAACGTGCCAGAATCCACAAAAAATGCTCGGTGGTGCTTACAAAACACACTCACTCACACACGCACACGCACACACAAAAGCTCTAAAGCTCAGTACCACTACGACATTTATAAATTTCAACAAACAAACAAAAAAACTGACAGATTTTTCAGATGTAGAGTTCCAGCATTATAAATATGCTTTTCTGAAAAACATTGTCTTCAAATTTGTTTTAAATTGATTAATCGAAAGTAGAAAGTTGTTTTCTTAGACAGGTGGACATCTATAACAATTTCATTATTATGTAGAAAAAAAGCATGGATGGGGGGGTTGGCAGGGGTGGAATGGAAAGTGATTGTTTGTGCAGTAGTTGATTGTTTTAATTTTGGACAGGTGCCTGTTAAAGCAGGTTCGACTGTAATTCCAAGAGAAGCACTTTTTATTTGACTCGTTTCCCTGGTTTGCTGTTCTCAGGTGGGAGATTTTGGCCTGGCGAGAGAGTACGGGTCCCCGCTGCGGCACTACACACCTGTGGTGGTCACATTGTGGTACCGCGCCCCAGAACTGTTGCTGGGATGTAAGGTGAGTGGGGCTTTCAGGGAGTGGCTAGGATTGCCAGTGGCATAGCTGCAAAACCAGTTGTACAAAACGTGTAATTTTTACGTTTTTAAGGGTCTGAGTATGGAAGGGTTTTTAATGTATCGAAAAATACATACTGTGTTTTCTAATAATGCTCCTCATACACTTGCCAGTGCTAAGGAAATATGAACTTTCAGGTTTGCAAATAGTAACCAAACCCATTGGTTAATAGGAGAGATGTTGTGCTTCATGTCTTCTTTGAATGCAGAAAACTTTTTGTGAAGAGTTTCGAGGTGGGGGGGGGGGGGGGGGGGCTTCATCCTCTCCTCCACATGCATCCGTATTCATAAACATAATAGTTGTATATTTCTTGATGTTAAAATGTTTTGATCTTTACCGTTAAAATGTCATTAGCAGTTAGTTGCTTCTTTTAGATCTTAGTTGCATACCTGCACACTATACATAATATGATATTACTGGCATCGGTGGCTTAATGGCTCTAAGACTCGCAACCGTAAGGTTTTGGGTTCGAATCCCTCCAGGGACCCGACATTGTGTCCCTTGGAACGGCACTTTACGCAAATTTTCCTCACTTCACCCATGTGGGAAGGGTACCCAGTTATAGACAGAGAAAAATATCTCGTCAGTTTGTTAGTGTTTGAGCGCTTAATTAGCTGCTTGCATTGTATGCTTCCCACGAAACTGAGAATGATTCTGAGTGTTATATGGCTTGCTGGGGTAATAATATTGTGTAAGTGCATGGAGCCTGCTGTCGAGCGGGGATATGCACTATACAACTGAACCTTTTTACCCGCCGGGGCTGTGCCACTGACTGAAGTTTCTTTAGGCCATTCCCAAAGAGGGGACATTTCTCGTTCTAATGCAAAGTAGAATTGTAAATGGGCTGATCCAACCATGTCATGCTCATAACTGTGCCTGAACTACAACAGGGAACTGCTGCTTTTTCTTTCCTAATCCTTACTATCGTCATTTACCTCTACTTTTTTTGTATGTTTGTCACACTCTTGTGACCCGCTATTTCTCGAGTGCCTTGATAGTTGAAGCAGACTTTGTGCTGTTGAAGTGATAGAGGTGAGCAGAGTAAGTCTGATTCCCTGTAAAGACTTCTCTGTTGACATCCCCCCCTTGGTGTTCATATGACCTTATGCAGTTGCAAGCGTCGTATAACCTCTACTAAAACTAAAACTAACTGATCTTTTATATTTTGTTTTGTGTCAGGAATACTCAACCCATGTGGACATGTGGTCTGTGGGCTGCATCTTTGCCGAGCTCCTGCTGATGAAAGCCTTGTGGCCGGGCAAGTCGGAGATTGACCAGCTCAACCGCATCTTCAAGGTGAGTGAGGGGAGGTGGGAGATGTCTGCCCTAGTGGCTGTAACATGTAGTCTGGCATGCACATAGCGGGAAACACATGGGTAAAGAGTTTTCATGTCACTAATTTTTTAATACATTTCTATTATATGTGAAGGATGCTGACAAAATGAATTACTTCTCGGATTCGAGCCCTCTGAAAATAGATACATCACGCTTACTGAGGAAGTTTTTACAATTTACAAGTACGAAATAATAAAAGGCATGTTATATTTAAAAAAGATGACGTCAATAGAAAATCTACAAATTTGACCTTAGTATTGATTTTTGGCCAATTTCTCCATTTGGGGATTGCGAGAAGTAACTCATTTTGTCAGCACACCCCTCATATATCTTCTTCTTGTTGCTCACTTTATTCTTGACACAGACTAAATTTCTTCAAATCTGTATAGGGAAATTTGTACGTTTTTGCGTCCCTCCAGCTTCTCTGTGGGTGTGCTAGACTATACCTCTGTTCCTCTTCTGTTGCCTCGTGTTGATGCTCTCCCTGCTCAGCTTTATAGAGTTTTGACTGTTGTAGGATAGTGCTTGAGAGGTATGTCGTCCGCTCTGGGGGTACTTCAGGTTTGAATCCTTTACAGGGAATTCTTACACGTAGGTTGTTTGAAGGATGCTACATGGGTTTCACTCACTTGGCTAAGTTGTTTCAGAGATGGACATTGAGTTTAGAGGTCCTGCCTCTTACTCTTAGCAAACGGTGTTTGTAAAGGAGTCAAGTCTATTCTGCCCTTGGTTGAATGGCTCGGCCTTGAGTGAGGGATGTTTTGTCTTCCTTACTGGAGGATTCTGCGAGTGTAGTGCATTAAACAATTTGTTGTGAAGCCGGAAAGAATGAAAGGGGAATAAAATTGTCAGTTTTGTACAGTCTTGCCTTTGGCACATGTTTATTGAATATGTATCTGACAGTGGCACTCACACAGGTATGTTGTGTCCCACCTTCACAAATTACAGCGTTTTCAGAATCATGCTGCTAGGCTTGTAATTAAAAAACAAAAAAAGAAAAGGGATTACGTTACTCCCATGTTAAACCTTTGTCTAATATTGCTCTGTAAAGTTGTTCTTGCATCCGATCCAGACATTGGGGGTTGCCTTGTTAGTGAGACAACTTCCTGGGCCTTCAGCATATTGTGGTAGGGTGGCCAGTTTTTTTCCACACCGCCTTTACTTCCCCAACTCGAAGTCAGGTACACATTACTGCTGGGTAGGCAGGAGGGGGCGAAAAAAATCTGTGTCCGAACCGAGGCTCGAACCTGGGCTAACCTCTCAGTCTCAGCCACTGCATCTTGTATTTCACTGACTCGCTGTAAACTAAAGCTCAACTTTGTCGATCAAGGATGTCGTTCTCTCTCTCCCTGCCAGGACCTGGGCACCCCTACAGAGACAATCTGGCCAGGTATGTCGGAGCTGCCCGGCTGTAAGAAGGTCACGTTCAACAATCACGTGTACAACGTGGTGCGGAACAGATTCGGATCCTACTTCACTGACCTGGGCTTTGACCTCATGAACAAGTGAGTGGTTAGCAGGTGCTCTGCTCAATCTTTTTTCCAACATCTATTGTCCTTATCGGAAGTTACCCCTCCTCCTTTTCTTTGCATATTACTGATTTGTAGTGGTACCTCTCATCTCGTGCATTGATATGACCTGTTTTTGATGCAATTGCCGTAAAATCTTACTAAAACTAAAAGCAAGTGAGTGGAGTGGACCTGTCTGGCTGCTGAGTATGTGTTTGGTGTGTACAGGAAACAGGAATGTTATGATGTTGTATGACTGAAAATCTTAACTGCCGTTTAATACCTTTCATTATGGGAAATGATGTGTTTCATGTTCCTGTACTCTTTAAACTTTGCCACTGTAGATGAATGTCAGTGGGTGGTTTGCGGATGGTGTGGTATGGTTTGCTTCCCTATCGTTCTTCCCTGTCAAACGTCTATTGCCCTTATCTCCTCTCCTTTTTTGTGTTTGTTGCTCTCTTGTAACACCTCCAATATGACCTAGGCACCAATATGACCTAATTGTGTTGCAAATGCTGTTAAACTAATACTAAAGATGAATGTTCTAGAAGTATCTTGTTATAATACATTCGTTCAGTCCTCTCATGGTTTACCCCAACACCGCATCCTCCCATTTTCTATTCTCCCCTATCTCTTTTTCGCTCGCTTTCTTTCTTTCTCTCTCTCTCTCTCTCTCTCTCTCTCTCACTCTCTCTGTCTCTACTGCTGCGTCAAAACACCGGAAACAGTCAGCCACTGTGAGCGACGCTGTGGGCTGAATCAGTTAAGTGAAGCAGTGGGTGGTTGGCGGGTGCTCTGGTGTGGTTTGCTCCTTCTTTCCTATCAAAAATCTTATCGTCCTTATCTCTCCTCCTCCTTTTTTTGTGTATATTACTCTCTTGTAACACATCTATTCTTCGGCACTTAGACCTTATTGTGTTGCAAGTGCCTTAAAACTCTTCTTACTAAAACAAAAGAAACTGAACAGTTCAATGCACTGCAGTAACTCTGTCTCTACTGTTGTCCACCCACAGACTTTTCACGTACGACCCGTCCAAGCGTATCACCGCGGAGGGAGGGCTGGAGCACGAGTACTTCTCCGAGTCTCCCCTGCCCGTAGACCCGTCCTTTTTCCCCACCTGGCCAGCTCGCAGCGAGGAGGGCAGGAAACACGCCAGCTCGCCCAAACCGCCCTCGGGGGGCAAGGCCTATCAGAAACTTATGGTGAGATACGAACTTTCTTTGTGGCGTACATGTGTTAACTCATAGCGGACGCGCATTCTGTTCCTACGAACGCTTGAAGACACGATGTTCCGGAATACTAAAATAGGCATAACTTGGTTATTCATACACAGTTTTCAATTCTGTTTACTTTATCTGGTACTTAAAAAGACAGATAACAATAATGTATTCTATAATATATGCAAACTTGTGTTTCTAATCTGTATGTTGGTTCGAAATATCCCGTATCTTTGCTTTTGGTCTGCTGCTGTCGGACATGTGTATCCGTTTCGTCGTAAATGTGTTAATGCATCCTGGAACGCACATAGGGTATAGATTAATATCTGGATGCTGGTGAGGTCACTAGTTTTCGTTCTTGGAGCTGAGTAGATAATTTTGTAAACTACAGTTTACAGTCGGGCACGGACAACATGGGTTCAATACACCCATAATGTGGGTTACCCGATAAAGAAAAATTAAAGAGATGTTAGTCGAGGAGTGGCAGATCGTACAAGCCATTCATGATTTTGAGTTTTATGTATTGGTGTTACCTGTGCCTGACTGTATTGTAATCCATTTGTTTTGTTCTGTCAGAAAACTTTTAGTCCCGTCTTTTTCTCCAGGATGATGAGGAGACATTTGCTGCCGGAGGATTCCACATGCCTTCTGCCGCTAAGGGAGCCTCTGCTCAAGGAATGGGCTTTTCTCTGAAGTTTTGAATGCTGGGTGCCTGATTGACACAGTCTGGTGAGAGTGTGTCGGAGTGGACTGACAATCTGATGGAAGTGTGTAGAGACGGACTGATGGAAGTGTGTTGGAAGTGGACTGACAGTCTGCTGGAAGTGTGTTCGGGTGAACTGGTATGTGATGGAAGCGTGCTGGGGTCAACTCAGAAAGTCCGCCATTGTTTACAAAAGGACTCCTCCAACCAAGAGGAGTTATTCTAGAATGTAATAGAAACAATTTTCGATGGATTAGGCCTCTAGAAAACGCTGTCGCAATAGCCCCGGGGCCAGTTTGTTTACATGGCAGTATGGTGACAGAATGCGACCCAAAGGAGTTTGCGGCGAAGCAGTGAAGGGGTTGATCTGTGCTGCTAGCTCGTGGTGCATGGGATGGGAGAGTGAAAAAGAGACAGTTGGATGGACAGACAGGTAGACGGACATGGAGAGAGAGAGAGAGAGAGAAAGAAGGGGGAGGAGAGAGAGGGCATTTACTGTCGAAATTGTCTGAGACGACCACCCATTGTGTCGAGGAGAAAGTGGACCATCCTTGCACTGTGTCATTATATAATGTAAACAATACGCAAGGGGGGGAATGGGAAGTTGCCGATTTTTTTAACAGGTGATGGCCTTAGTCTTGTAGAGGTGGCTGTCAGAGCAGATTCAACCGTATTTGCTTTCAATATATATATATATATATATCAGTTTTGTCTCGTGTCAGCTTCAGAAACAAAGGCATTGAGTGAGCACAAATACTTGACCGCTGTATTTATTTGACGTGTCTTGCAAGTTGACGAAATCTATAAACCTTATGTCCCTGATATTGATCCTGAACATCTGCTCTCAATAGTGCTTTTTGTCATCATGAGTTTTGTTTTGTTTTTTTAATCCATAATGTTGAAGTAATCATATTATCATTATAAAATGTTCATTCCTTGAAATGTTTGGTAAAGACATTAAAAAATAACTTGTCTTGGAGACACTATGTGTTTTCTTTTCTCGTGATGCAAGTCTCATCTTGACTGTTTGTGTGACATCGTGATAAAATCGGGCGCTCGTCAAAATAAGGAAATCGAAGAAACCAACATTTCCCACCCATTGAGCAATTTTTCATCTCGGTATGCTCAAAACGCCACTTTTAAAAGTGGTGAGCCGTGAAAACGCAGAGCCGAAAATGCCACTTCAGTGGCGAGCCTGATTCCAAGAGTTAAAATTGTACCAATAACTCTGTATGCCCAAAAATTGTTGAGCGCCAGATTCTACCATTTTGTGACACATGTACTGTACTATTCCTATTTTTACCTCAGACAGAGTTTTAACTTAATTTGCAAGCAAGTGCGAGCTGGTGAATGTGTCCATGGCGGAAATATGAAAGAATGAGACATTTTGCCATTGTAGATGTTTATTATTATTGTTATACAGGGACTGTGTAATGAGGTGAGGGAAAGGTAGGGTGGCTCTGATGGTGGTAATGATAATTATTTTATAATGGAAAGAACAACAACTTTTAGGTCATCATAATTTAACGTGTGCAGTTTTTCTGGGGAGTGTGCTTAAATTATTCTGCTTTGTAACTTAGGAAAACTTTACTTTACTTTTCCAATCCAGCGTCCATCTGAAGTCTAACTCTTCGACCTGAAACTGATGAGAACCAATATAGGGTCAGTAAGACACATCATATTAATGAAATTTGTGGATCATGGAGATCTTTTCGATATGTGTGAATTTCGCTATACTATATACTCTTTTGAAATACAAAGAATATATATACAAGTAAACCCCCTATGCCGGGACCATATTTTGGTAGGAAATCTAAAATTGACATATAATATGTCACTGAACTGATCATTATATTTTAAAAGTGAACCTATTTAGATAGTTCTTCATCCAATGAATGATCTCCCGATAAAAGAGGCTTGTTTTCGGTTCAGCAATTGCCGAAAAGTAATTTGATGTTGAGGTCGTCGGAAAGGAATGCGCCTGAGACCGGCACAGTGGTTCCGAATGCGAGCTGCTGGGAGCGGCTTGCTGGAGATAAAAGAGTTGAGAAAAAAATTGAAGACTTTAAATTCTGTTTGCTAAGTGCGTGTACGCTATATGTAGGTGCTGTACTGTATGTTGATGGTGAATCAGTTGTTGAGGGAGACAGCTGGTGGAAGCGGCGTTGGTATCCTAGTGGTTAGGCTGCCAGACTTGTAATCGTGATATTGCGGGGTTCAGGGGCTCAAACCTCAGCTTGTTTTGACTTTGTGTCCTTTGGGAAAGGCACTTTACTTTACTCAGATTTCCCACTTGCCTCAGTCCTTTCGGAGATGGATGTTAAACTCGGAAGTCCCGCCACTTGAATAACCTAATAGTGTTAATAGAGTGTTAAACCTATACCATTTCACCATTTTCAGCTGCGGAAACCGAGGCGTGGGGTACTTGTAATGAGGTTTGGGTATAGATCTTTCTTTAAAAAATAATTGAGTTCTTCTTCTTCCTCGTTCTCGAAATAATTGAGTATAAATAACGGTCCGTTGTTCAGTGTACAGTGCCAAAGTCAGTAGATGCTAGTTACTGATTTATTTCAAGGTATCTTTTTCTGTTTCATTTGAGTGTTGTCTTCTTTATATTGCACTTTTTCATAATATTTTTCAATTGTTCAAAGCCTTGAAAGCAAAATGTTTCAGGTGAGAAAAAAACTTTTTCATCCATATTTTTATTTTACAAATTGGACCTACATTATGTGTATCTTTTCGTGCCTTTTTCAACATTTGGAATTTGACTTTCAACCAAATATTGCACCAGTATATGCAGCCATACCCACAGATTAATTAAGAAACGGCAATAAAATCATATTTAAAAAACTGTGGGGCAAAGTATATCTGAACAGCTGGATGATGTTATGCTGCCCTTTCTTATAGCTTCTGGTTTTGATGGCGTTTGTGTGTATATATATATATATATTTATGTGAGGTTGTTTGCCATTTGTCTTGTTACTTGGAGAACTGTAAATTTTAATTTTATTATTATATTGATGTACATAAGCCTGACTGAAAGTAAAGAGTGAGTGTTTTTACATCCATTGTGTACTTTTAATTTGAGTGCATTTGCTGTGCCAGAAAATTCGAAAGATAAGATGAGAGGGAGAGGGAGGAGAGCGAGAACCTTACAAGTACAAAATTAAAATGTCATACTTCGTTGAAATAAAAAAAAAGTTGTTGTAAACAATTTCTCATAATTTAGAGTTCTTTTTGAGCTGTATAGTATTTATGAGTGTGAGCTTGTGATTGTCTGGAGGTTGGTTACGAGGTTACTTGACTGGAGAACAGGCATCGTCGCAGGTGGTACAGTGCCATAGCTGCTCTTCTCTCCCCTTGAAGATCCATTAACTTGATTAACTCTATCCGTAGGCCCTGGGGTCATTTTGTATCCCCGGGGTTTTGTTCTTCACATTTTAGAATACTTCTAGTTGGATGATCTCGTTGAAACTTTCAGTATTTCTCAAAAAATCATTTTGACAGACTGTTAAATGCAAAGCGTACAGATCGGATTAACGAGTAAATTTCCTCTTTGGAAAGTGGTGGCTCAGAGTTCCCATGTCGTATGGAAACGATAGTAAAAACGATGTACGGACAAGGTTAAAGTGTTGGCTGTGCCAGAACTCAGCTGGTTGGAATATTCTTCTAGCTTTTCACACAGGTTGCCATCCCTACCCGACCCTCTTGAGACACCAGCTTCCCTGCTCAGTCTTTCCATTGTGTGTGATGTGGAGCCTTTATCTTCTCTGTCGTCGTTGAACCATGCTGTCATGACTGTTGGTGGTCTATGGCATGGTGCCGCCAATCTCAGCGTGGCCGGCTAGCTCATCAGCACGTTCATTGCGGGTGGTTGGCGGGTGCTCTAGTGTGGTCTTCTCCTTCTTTCTTATCATACATCTATCATCCTGACTTCACCTCCTCCATTTTTGTGTTTGTTACTCTCTTGTAACGCCTATAACCTTCGGCACTTATATTATTATGACCTTATTGTGTGCCCATCTTACTAACAACATACAACATCACGTTCATCGAAGGGCAGTGCCACTGACTGTAGTGTCTTTAGGCCATTCCCAAAGGGGGGACATGCCTCGTTCAGGCACAGTAGAATTGTAAATGGGCTGATTCATCATGTCACGCTCTTAACTGTGCCTGGTCTGCAACAGGGAACTGCTGCCTTTTCTTTCCTAATCCTTACTATCGTCATTTTTCTCTACTTTTTTGTATGTTAGTCACTCTTGTGACCCGCTTTTTCCGGGGTGCCTTGATAGTCGAAGCAGACCTTGTGCTGTTGAAGCTAGAGAGGTGAGCAGAGTAAGTCTGATTCCCTGTAAGGACTTCTCTGTTGACACCCACCCCTCGGCGCTCATATGACTTAATGCAGTTGCGAGCGCCGTAAAACGCTCTTCTAATTTAAAAAAAAAGAAGAAAAAAAATATATATAAGAGAACTCCTGCATGACCGGGGCTAAAGATCCATACATCCATCTTTGTGAGTCCTACTGCCTCATCTGGGGGGATGAGGCTTCTCCTATAAGCCCGTGTCAGTTCCATGGAACGGGTGGTTAGAGGGCGCCACTGGTAGGTCCTACTTCTTTACTTTCCCTCTCTGTTGTTTCTGTCTGTCTGTCTGACTTTCCGCAGCACTAAACGACCAATATTAAGTCGATGTGCTTTTCTATGCTCGAACAAACAGTTCCATGGACTCTAATTGGTACAACGATCCTGTTGTGATGTTCTGTGCGAGGGAAACTGTTGTTCTGCCTACAGTTCCTTTAACTTAAAGTTCAGTGTTTCAAGTTGTATCTATTGGATGGTTGGCACCTCTTTACTTTCCCTCTGTTCTATTTGTCTGTCTATCTTACTGGTCCTTGCTCCTTCTTTCCTATCAAACATTTATCGTCCTTATCTCCCCTTCTTCTTTTTTTATGTTTGTTACTCTCTTGTAACACCTCTAATCTTCTGGCGCTCATATGACCTTATGCAGTTGCGAGTGCCGTAAAACCTCTGCTAAAAAAACGTACTTGTCCCTAGCACTGGCACTATATGGCCATTATTTTGTCAATGTATTTCTCTGTGTACAGACAAAACTAATACATGTATAGCGGTTTTGAGAAGCCTCAATAAAAAGGTATAGCATTTTCAGACTAGATCCATCATTTGAACGGCTACCGTACTAGTACTGGTCGCAGAGATGGACACTTAATTAATGACTTATTGTTTTTTGGGGTGTAGCTAGATCGATCTTCTACGTGAAATGAATCAAATTACGGTCCAAATCTAGAAATTACACATTGTACAGATTGGGTTACAAATATCACGGTTGTATTTTTAAAAAAATGTAAAATTGAAATAAGCTCATACCTTATAGTTATAGGCCCATTTCTTGTTCGGTAATATTTAAAACCGGTTTAAATGATTCTGTTATCAATGGGGTTGTTGTTGGGGTTTTTTTTGTTTTTTTTTTTGGGGGGGGGGGCTGTTTGCAAAGTGCTCGGAATGTTATTGTTACACTTACTTACAGATGCAGAACCAAAAGTAAAGGACAGTTTCCGTATAGTATAACATAGAAAACTGGACGTTTTTTTGTGCTCATCTAGAATAAACTGCAACTTTTCTGTTGGCTCTGCGACTGGCGTCTCTATCATGTAGCGCTGTCATATGTGGTTATCACTGATAGTGATAGTGATAATATCAGGTTCTCTCCCAGTTCCCTTTGGAGCACGTATCTCGTGTATGATGTAGATCTAGGTCCTTTTCTTTCCCGACTGTTTCCTTTTTTTGTGCGCAAATAAATGAATGACTCAATGACACAGGAAGAAAGAACACACAACACTATTGCTCTTTCTTCCTCCTTCTTCTTTGCTCTCTGTTTCTGTCGCTGTCTCTAACTCCCTGTCTCTGACTCTCCATGTCTCTGACTCCGACTCTCTCTCCTCTCTCTCTCTCTCTCTGTGTGTGTCTCTGTCTCTCTGTCTCTGTCTGTCTGTCTGTCTGTCTGTCTGTCTGTCTGTCTGTCTGTCTGTCTGTCTGTCTGTCTGTCTCTCTCTCTCTCTGTATCTCTCT